AAAATTTGTTTTTCGAACTCCTGACTGATTGACACCCTCGACTTCGTCTCGGGTGTCAAACGCCGTCGTCGTTCGAAAAACGACATTTTTCGCCCTTGTATCGAAAACTACTATTGTTTAATTTCCCAACTCACGTTCCTTTTTAGTCGTCTTCGGCTCCAGATTAAAAAATATATATTTCTGACAAATTCAACGAAAATTTTCCCACAAACTCTGCTTTCTGCGGGTCACAATAGGTATTTAAAAGGCAATTTACGGACCAGTTGCAAATGCTGAAAAATTCCGGTGCTTGTTAGGGAATTTCTACCTCAATTTGCTACACATTTTTCGAAGATTTCTCAAAAATATCATTGAAATGAGAAAATCTTTATAAAATTACCCGGTTATTTTTTGGCTAAAAATCATAAAATCCATATTGTGAGTGAAATAAAAGAAACTTCAGCAAGAAATTCTTTTACACGCCGTTTCAGGCCCAAAAAAACTCCTCAGCTTAAATGGAACTTTGCCATCATTTTTCTAAAAATCTTCACTAAACGATATTTTTGTAAGTCTGCCCATAAACAATGCTGTTTAGTGCCACTCGTGCTGATATTACCAAAGAGGACAAGACTGTTCACACGACTTTGTTTTCAATCAAAGCGAAACCAGGCTCGAATCCAGTTATCTACCGAAGAGTTTATTGATCTTATTTATGTAAATTGTTTTATTTTTAACAAAGCCAATCGCTTACTGATGATTCATCTGYTTTRATCAGGACGCCTTTCCGATCTTCCCAGTTGATGCAATAAAATTGATTAAGTAATTAAGTTTCTATTGGAAATACCACCTAAATGTTACCATTCCTCTTTGTCAGCAAAAAGGAGCAAAGCCATAATCTATGTTATATTCAGAGAATTCGACTCGTAATTTTGCGTCGCTGATCTAAGTATAAATGGTTAAGCTCAACCGAATTATATCGATGAATTTCAGTCTAATAAGTGAGCCTTAAAGAACTCGTTGCATCAACAACATAACAAAATACGTTCTGCTTGTGTTGAGATAAATGCATCGTTATTTTATTTCAATGCCCTTTTCCCTATTAATAATCTAATAGTTTCTATTTTCCAAYCACCTRACAAATCCTCCTCCTCAACCTCCCTCATACGTCACCAACTATTCAAACAATGTCCGAAGACAACAAATCGACATAATTAAACAACATTACAGAAACATTAGTAATCTGCCAGATAAGATACAGCTAACAAACGATATTTTCCAGATAAGAATGGAGACCAAGATATCAGCAGTCGCATGGCAGCAGCCACTCGCTTTGAATCCGGGCCCGATCATTTTCGACATTCCATATCAGAAAGTGGCTTTGTATCCAGTTCTGCGAAATTACCGATCCAATCACTCATTCTTGCATTCGCCCAAGCTTCGCGACAGCATTTTGGAGTCAAAAAAGGCATTTCTCAGCCAATCGCTGAGCGACGAGAAGCCCGAAGATGAGCAAATGGAGGAAAAGCCCCTCCTAGGGGCTGTTCAGGAGATCAGGCGGCCACCGTGCAAAAAAATCAGCTTCAAGATAAAAAAGCAGTCGTCCCTCTACAGGCGGAGCACCGGAGCACCTAAAGTTACCAATATTCCCTTGAATAAAGTGGCGGAACTGACGAAAAAATTCAACGAAATGGTTGACAATAACAGCTTATGGGACGAGCACAGCCTGAAGAGTTTAGTGAAGCGCGTGGATAGTGCGACCAGTGACTCTGTGAGACCCGCACTAGTGCATAGGGATAGTGAGAAAGTGTCGCGAAAACCCAGTGTAAAGACCAAGCCAGTGTTGGAGCCGAAAAAAATAGTGCTCAAGAAAACGACGAAGAAAAGTAGCATTAAGAGACAGAATAGTGATAAGCTGAAAATCCGTGCCAAATTCCAAGAGAAAGCTGAAGCAAATGGCAAACCTGCAGAAGCAGCCAACAGGCCGACCACCTTGAATTTGAACTTGAACATACCAAAGGCCATCATTGAAACATCGCCCAATGGCACGTCGGTGAAGGCAGCGATTGAAATATTTGAAAAACGATCCAGCATTTTACTCCCCAAGAGCGAACTTGCTGTTGCAGCCCCCAAGCCAAAGCCACTGATTCCAGAAAAACCGCAATTAGCAAAAAAAATGCCCTCGAAACCCAGCGTTTTAATCACCACAAAAGACATTCCTGAAAACAAGACTGAACAATTTGAATCTGAGTTCGAAGAAGACAAGGTAGAGATTATTAACATTCCGGCAGTGCTTCCGCAACGAAGATGCGACTCTATGTATGAAACGCTTAACATGAAAAAAGTGCAAACACCTGCACTGAAGTGTAGATCTGTCGATGATTTGAATACGGAAGTACAAAGCGCCTCGGTGATTCCCAATAGCTCATTTCTTTGGAGGGATAAATCGCCCTCTGTTTCTTCAAGCAGATCCTCCATCAATGCCCAGTTTCAGGAAAGATTAAACAATGCTGAGTGCAACGCCACGGCATTGCCTAGTGCTAAACCAGTTAAGCCTCATGCGCTCAAAAGTGTAAAGAGAAAAATGCCTCTACCACAAGAATCACCTGGCGCATCTAGAAAAACCAGAGACGTGCCGGATTATGAGGAAATCAGCACCAGCTTTACTGAAGAAACATTGCTCAATGAAGAAACGTTCAAAGGCTACGATGAAATCACCAAGCCACTGAATGAGGTGGAAATACTCGATGCTTCCACCGAAGAAACTCCCTATGAGGTAATCGAGGAAACCGCCAAGGCAAAGGAGGACGACAAACATTACGAAGAGATTCGAAAAGAGGAGAAGATCTATGAGGAATTGAGCAGCATGACTAGCAAATTGGACGACGGTTATGAGCCGATCGGCAATCAGCGCTGCTCTCTTGCAAGACCCGAGAATATTTACGAGACTTTGCCTCATTCGACGCTGCCTAGACGGCAGGAGCCTCTGCCTCCAAGGCCTCCATCGTCTACAATAAACGAAGAAATCGAGTACAATTGCTATGAGTCGATCTACACTAAGAAGGATGGATATTACGAAAGCATTTACGGTGAGTTATGGATTGTATTTGTTATTGAAACTAGTGGGTTTTTAGGCCGCGGTTCGGTAGAATTTCTTCTTGACGTTTCGCAAGCACGAGTGGCTTGCATCTTCAGAAGTGGTTTGCTTGAACCAGGGGCGGATCCAGCTTTAAAGTCAGGGGGGGGGGGTTATGTAGAAAAATACAGTCTTCTGTTGTCTATGAAATATAGAAAAACTATCGTCGTTTTGTGCAAGGGTGGCGTGAGATTATTGCGAAGTTTAATGTTTTCCGTCCCGTTTTTGCTCATATCTCGGAGGCAAAATGAGCAAGAACGCTCATTTGTACATCATTTTAGACAGAAATAAATGGCCTTTTTAGAAAGTGAACCA